CCATAGATCTGTCTCAGGGGTACAGAGTTGATGAGGTCGATGAAAGGTTTCTTCTTCTCCACCTGAGTCTTCTGGTACCACCACTGCAAGTACCTGAGGAGCAGGAGGCAGTGTGATGGAAGGAGTTGTGGGCAAGTGCCTTCCCGGCTGCAGTCGCTACCTCTTTCTGGACACCAGCTGTGATTTCCCATCACACGTTCTAGGGATCCCACCTTTGCTTCCAAACCTCCTCCTCTCAACTTCTCTACAGATCAAGGTCCCCTCATCTTCCCAGTCCCCAGCTTATAGTGTGGGACTGTCTTGTTTCTTTTCTCTGTTCTCCTCAGGAGCTTTCTGATCTTTCCTCACCTCTAACTCCACTGCCAGTGCTTTACTCACCCAGCAGCTTTTGTCCAAGGTGTTGAAAGGGCCAGTTATGATTTCTAAGCTGTAAGCTTTGTGATTTTGCTCTCTTGTAATATCCCAGTAAAGTCTTAAAAAACATTTCCCTGGGCTTGTCACAGCTCTGTGTCCCACAGGCAAATGATTCTGTTTGGGATTCCATGACATCTGTCCTAGACCATCTTCTAATCTTTCTTGCAACCCCTGCCCTGCAAGTCTCTCTCCCAGTTCTACTCCCTACCCAGCCATTTTATATTCACGATTCAAGCACAACACTTATAACCATGTACTTGTGTAAGTAACCCTTCTGAGCCTCAGTTTCCTCATCTACAAAATGAGGATACCTCCTGCCCTACCAAACTACCCACCTCATGGAATGAGCAAATGACCTAATAGGTAGGAAAGCTATAAAGTGAAATACCTGTGTCAGGTATGATCATTACTTGTACATACTCTATCTCAATTCCCAATCAGATGCTGTCTTGTTATTTCAGTGTTCCTCACGTGAGTCTGACATTTAAGTTCCCTGGGGAAAGGGACAGTGACAACGACTAGATGATTATTATCCATTGCTTCAAGCACAGGGCAGGGCACATGGTCTGCAGTCAATATTTGCTGAATTTACATATGATTGTACAGACAGTGGGGCATACGAGAGATGAACATAGACAGGAGCAAGGGGAGGAGAAATGTGCATAACGAATAGGGAAGTTACATTCTGGGGGTAGAGGGAAAGGGAGGGAAGACAAAGGATGAGATGATGGGAAGGCAGACGATCCTTCCTGCCAACTTAGAGGAAACTGGACTCTGAAACTAGAGGCCAGAAAGGACTGGTGAAGGGAAAGAAAGTGCAGTGGGCATTAGGGCAATGAGGATGAAATGCAAGATACGAGGAGAGGCAGAACAAAGGAGTATCTAGTATAGAACTGGCACTTAAATGTTTACTGAATGAATGGACTCTGTCTGGGAGAGCAATCAAAATTGAATTCTTACCACACTGAGGCCAAGAGAACTCTGTCTTTTTGGAGCTCCTGATTCGAGGACCCTCAGTTCAGCTTTCTCTTAGGTTTCTCCCATTCCCTGAATTTAGCAGCTGACCATTCTTGACCTATTTGGCCTTTTCATAATTTCAGCCCCAACTTAAGAATTATCATTCAGAATTCTTCCTTGTCTCACCCCTGTTTCTCCCCAGAGCAGGACCTCATCCCACTCTAAAAGCCCTGTGTCAGTGGCCTGCACCCTATGCTGACATGGGAAGCCAAGGTCCAGGGGCCTGGGCATAGCTTCAGGCCCCTGATTCAGCTCATACACAGGGACAGGGGTAGGATACCCACCTGCTTTTTTTTAATCCTCGCCTGAGGATATTTTTTTATTGATTTTAAAGAAAGGGGAAAGGAGAGAGAGAAACATCGATGAGAAACATCTTTAACCGTTTGACTGCTAAGGAGTGCTATCGCGCTCTTATTTAAAACAAATTTATGTAAACAATTGGTATTTTTTAATTTTTGTTGTTGCAAAGCAATACAAGTGAGTTTATTGTATAAAAAGTGTTTTACATTTTTTCCCATACACGTGCAATTAGTGCTGCAGTTTTGGCATATGTCCGAAAAAATACGTCAGCAGCCAAACGGTTAAAGAGAGAGGAAGAGAAAGAGAGACTGGGAGAAACATCAATGTGAGAGAGAAACGTTGATTGGTTGCCTCCCGTATGCACCCCAACTAAGTATGTGCCCTGACCGGGAATTGAACCTGCAACCTTTTGGTGTATAGGATAATGCTCCAACCAACTGAGCCACCATCTGTTCTTGATCTCAGTGTCCCCACCACATGCACCCAAAGTGCTTCTCTTAGCACCTTAGCTCTACATTCTGTTTTGACCCAAAGGTTGGGCTAGGGATGACTGTTCTCTGGTACTGGCCACCCACAGTTACTAGCAAAGGAGAGGCATTCCTAGGCGGCACCAGGCCCTTCCCACTACCCAGGTCTGGGGTTAGGTAAATGGACTCCCCACCCAGCCCCAAAGCACTGAATGGGAAAGGAAAGGATCCATGTATTTATTTTTAAAAATCCTCACCCGAGGATACATTTTTTCATTGATTCTAGAGAAAGAGGAAGGGATGGGGGAGGGATGGAGGGGAGGAGGGAGAGGAAGAAAAACATCGGTGAGAGAGAAACATCCATTGGTTGCCTCATGCACGGGCCCTGACTGGGAATTCAACCCTGGACCTTTTGGTGAACAGGACGTCACTCTAACCATTGAGCACAACCAGCCAGGGTAGGGAAGCACCCTTTGGCTGTCAGGGCTGGCTTTCACAGCCTTCAAGCCTCCCTCCATGGCTCTGTGTTTACTGTGTAGAATGACTCAGGATGACCTCAGGGTGATGCTTTTTGTCCTCACATCCACCTGTTCCTGTTAATGGGTCTTGGTCTCTCTTCTCTAGTTTTTTATTTCAGTGGGGATATGGAGGGACCTAGAGGAGTTCTACAGCTAGAGTAAGCTCTTCGGGTGTCTGCAATCCTTGGGTAGGGTGTGCGGGGGCAAGGGAGACACCAGGGCAGGCTCTGGAAGGCTATTGCTAAGAGCTCTGGGGACACCTATGGCAGTGCCTCTCTGATCAGAGGGCCAGTCTATCTCAGAGTAGAGTGAGCAGCACCCCTCATCACCCTCTCAGGATTGAGAGAGCTGGCAGCCTTGGAACTAAAGCGTGAAGGGTGCTGGACTGTAATGGGGTGTGCCTCAGTGAGGTCCTGAGAATACTCCAGCTGCTCAGGGGATTCTGAGACCCCCTCCCCCCACCCCAATAAAACAACATTGTGTCAGTACCTCAGCAGCCACACTATTCTTTCCTATCCTACAACACAGAGCTAACTCCAAAGACCAATTTTTGGAAAAGAGGGAGTATGTGAGAGGGAGCTTAATGGAAAAGGCTGGCTGCAGGCCTAGATGTTTCTGCTCTTTCCTACTAAAAAGGCAAGTTACTGGGAGTAAAGGGTTGCAACAAGATGTGACCTGGTCTTACTCTTCAAAATCAAGGCTTAGAATCTGTTGGGGATAAAAGCCACTTGATTGGGTCAAGGCACATCCCCGCTTTCTCACCCCTTCCCACTTCTGCTGGAAGTCTCGGGCCGGAACCAAGTGAAGCCCAGGGTACTCTAGGCAGTGGATCTACTCACCTCAAGCCCATGCCCAGGTGCTTTATCAGGTTGCTGAGGGAGATGTCATTGGCATTAAAGGGTTTCCTCTTCTCGGCAAACTCATGAGCCAAGCAGATGCGCCAGCCAAAGGCAGGCACCTGGTAGCCCTGGGCTCTGCCCTCGTAGGAGGCCATCAGCTGCCCAGGGTCCTCCGGATTGCTGTAGCCCAGCTCATCTTGGGATCGACTGTCCTCCGGGCTCTCGGAGTCAGTGACCTGCACAGCCTCAGAGTCTCCAGTGTCTTTAGCGCAGTAAACCTGTGGGTCCCCTTTGGCACAGCTGGTCTGCTCCGAGGCGGGGACTCCGGTCCCCATGCTCCCTGGATCCTGGGTCCCCACGACCTCGATGGCCCCAGGTCCCGCGCCTTCGGATACAAAGTATCTCGCCAGCCAAGTGCAGAGGCGGGTGCCGACCCTTGCTAGGTGCCGTCCTGGCGGGCCGGCCGCTGGGGGAAGCTGCGATGAGCAGGTGTCTCCGTGTAACCCGGGAGCTGAGGCTGCAGCTGCGGCGGAGGCGACAGCAGTGAAGCCGCCTCGAGCTCCCCGTTGTCGTCTCTCCGGGGCCTGGGCGGGAAGGGTCGGGCCTCGTCGTCATTGGGCCGC